TAGAAAATAAACTAACCGTAGCTACGCTTTTAGGCTTCGCTAATTCTATTACCTAGCAAAATAATGAGGATCGAAATGTACCAGTGACAGCGCGCCTCAGAAAATCCAATCAATGGGATATAAACAGCAACGCCGCGTTCAATACAATCGATTAGTCAGATCGATTTTTGTAAATATTTCGCTTCCTTATGACTGTTACGTTTGTTCTGGAGTTGACTGATAAGCTGGCCCGGAGAATTCTCTGAGATTCTGTTTTCTGTAATTGCTTGCGTGAACCGGTGGCAAGTTCTGGTATTCCCAAGCGCGCAATAAATCTGCAGACATCGACCGAAGGTTAAGAAATGTGACATCAACTCATATTTCAGTGTGTAACTGACATGCATACCCTACGGGACGAAGTAAACGAAGACGGACGGTCAATATCTCATCACCAGATACGTGTCCTCATTGTTAACCGCAACTTGAATAGCACATAACTGTAGCCTCTGCAATGCTTTTACATTTAGTGCAAACAGAACAGCATAACATTGAAAACGATTTATTGCACGTCCAAGAAATACATCGTCATAAGTTAAGTTAACGTGTGCAAGCTTCCCGTACATCTTAAAATCACAAAGGTATACAAATATGCATGTCAAATGTGTCGAATGCGAACGAGCACAAAGACCTGGAAAGTCATACAGCTGCCAACAACTACTCAAATGAATCAACTGAAGAACTCTTGAAAGAGTTTCGAAGATCCTGTGGGAAAAAAAAGATAAATAAGAAATTACTTAAATATAAAACCTTTTGAAAAATTCAGTTTACTTCAGCCACCAGAATTTAACTCTAACTTATAGGTTCGTTAAAAAACTTCTCACTGTTCTTGCTGTATGGATGATTTGAAAGCTAAAAAATCTTTAGTTAATGTAACTTCATCTCAGACATCTAAGATTTGATATTTTAAAAATCGCTTTCTAAAGAAAATCAAGAGAAAGTATAATTTACCAATGTTTTAAACCGCTGACACATATGCATGCAGTCCTGTACAATGGGATGCTGGTATAAGAGGTGGAATGGTACGGCTTCTGTTTCCTCGGCACCAAGCTCCACAAATACACCCGCCAAGCGTTCCTGTGATGGATAATAACAATAGTTACACTACAAGAAGATCTTCAGAAGAATTCAGAGCAAACAAAAAATTTAAAGGCTTTCTGGAAAAATTAGCTACCGTCTATACCGTTTTAAAATCATAAAGGGATAAGATCTAAGCGGCGTGCTAGAGAACTAATTTTGAAAACAGACACCTTGAAATGGTTCTAGAATAGGTATCATTCATGTATTCACTTTTTAATCAGCAATTAAAGGGTAAATCTATTTTCAAAGGAAACTTACGGAAACATGACAACTCCCACGGTTTTAAATGTCTTACCTTTGCAAATGTGTCATCTGGGTCAGCAGTAACATTGAGGCGGTAAGTGTCTTCCCGTTGCCCTTCTCCATGATGAAAAACCTGCCAATGGAGACAAAATTAAGCAAAATGATTCAAAATAAAGATTGAAACAAACCAGACTCTGATTCACGATTGAGAAAAGCAAAGCTTGTTACCTTCATCAGCGTGTCCAGTGTCACAAGTGAGTTCATTTCAGGAGGTGGTGATGCGGGTTCCTGGGATAAAAACCAATCCATTAATAAATGTGCGGTTCGTTGCCCTAGTACTCAGCATGTGGACGAGAAAAGATTTTTAACTACAGTTTAATCTCCCATAAGCATCTACCCGAAATGTCAAGTCTGGATGGTGCGCTTACGGGAGGTAGTCGCTCTCCAGAGGTCAGACTATATGGGGTCCACATTTCGGGTAATTTGTTCATGGCGACTGGACCTTTTCGCTAGCGCTTATCGAAACTTAGAGTACTAACTTTTAGCAGATAGTTCAAGGTAAAAAATCTTTAGATCTAAGGTTATTATTGTGTATCTCATTAATTATTTAATACGGCGCGTTTGGGACAATTCAAGAAAGAAACTTGGCTCATTTGTTATTCCAAGTGATGCTGTCCAAATTTTTACGGGAACGGGACACAAGCGAATGTTCACGCGTTTAGGGAAACACTTCTGGTGGCTCCACGACATCTGTTGAAACAATTATCAGGTTCCGCTCGTAAGAGATAAAGACGACTGCGGTCAAGTGGTCGCATTACGTAAATAGAAAGCTTCTCTGCAAATCGAACAGAATGACCACAAAAATCAACCGTAATAAGCGGATTGTCCGCCGTCCATAAGTGCACTTCACATACTGCGATTCAGTTACTTTGTTATAACGTTTAATTTGTTTTCCTTTATATTTTTTTTTTCTGTGATAACTGCTTTTAATGCATGAATGTAGTTAACATTTTGTCGTATTAATTTTTGTTCTTATTTCATGTTTAACGGAGAAGAACAAAGGAGATGCCTTGCGTATGAATTAAATCCCGTTCGCGCATGACAATGATCTCGTTTATAGATAATTCATGGTAAAATATGTTTTACATACCTGAATTTGTGGGACACTAACGTCACCACCATATTCTTCCGTCATTGGTTGAGGGAGATGAACTAAAGACTTGCTGGACGGCATTGGTTGGTTCGCAGCAAGACTCAGTCCGCGAAGAAAACCCTCCAAGGGGTCTGGGTGGGCAGCAAAGTACAACAGCTGTTTCACAAAGCCGGGGAAACAGTCACATGGTCAGAAAAGGTGCAAAGTCATGTTCACTTTCTAAGTTTAGTGACTTTCACGATAAGACATATCCTTTACTCATTGAAATTGTTTATTCGACAGATACAATATAAATATCTGGAAAAGAAAACCAGAAATTCATATTTCATAAGTAGAAGAAAAGGGGCTTACATGGCAAGCAAAGGAGGCCAATTCCTCACTAAGCAGTCACAAACATGTTAATCTATGAAAAACTTTTTTTTACTTTATGTTCAAACCACCGCCTTTCCAAATTTTTATTAAATACTTCAAAGGAATATCGCAATCGACCAGATCTACGTAACACTAAAAATTATGCTATAGGATCAAAATATAAGGTGCTATCTTAAAGTTTGTAACGACCTATGAAAGACAAAGCTTAGCATAATATAACCCGAAAGTACCCGGCCAGCATTCCCTTACCATATCAAGGTAATCCACCGATGGGACGCCATCGTTATAATCTGCAAATATCTGATAAAACGCCTGCAATAGAGCAAATCACTGAGATTTTAATCAGCTGTCTACTTACGCATTACATTCAAGTAACAATTCAATGTAAAGCTCAAGGAGAAAAAGAAGAAGTCTTTTAAATCATATATCACGATCTCTCTTATCCAACTATTTCCTCCTAAAATCATCTTCCTCTCGTTAGTGAATAACACCAAAGAGGAGGAGGTGATCACAAACAAACAGCCTTCAATTATAAGTCACTTAGTTGCATTAGTCAGCGCACACTAGAGTTGGCCATTTGTCCGCACTATCATGCGCACAAAAAGATGCTACCTACAATACTATGAACACATTTGTTTGACTTACATTCTTTAGCTTGCCTAGTCTGTCAAACGTAGGAGGCAGATCCGGGTCTTGAGGGTTTTCAAGCTCTTGTTGTCCGGAGAACCACAATCCTACCTATTCACAAGTGAATACAGAGGAAATTTTCAGTTGTATATAGTAAGGAACTAATTACATGAAAGGGCGATGTGTTCATGTGAAAGCATAGTCCTTAGAAAGATTCTGA